TATATAGGCCGCTGTGGTGTATGGTTAGAAGTGCGCAAAGCTTGAAACTTAATAACAGCTTCCCAGTAAAACATATTCGCCGTTCAGAGTCGACCTAAAACTGTAGGGACCCCTTTTGTGCCACAACATTAAGGCGCGAGCGACAAATCGGAGGAGAATCTCGATCAAACACTAACATATTGTGTAACAACACGTAGAGATTGAGGTGTTGACTTAATACACCGAGGCCGCGGGTTCAAATTCCACCACATGCAATCCTAACTATAATACAAATTAATGCTCTTTAAAGTCCAATTGTTATCGGGAAGAATTGTTAATAACATTGGCCCGTAGTCATAGTCAAAATAAAGTCGACTTTAACCCTTAAATGCATGCCTTTTTATTTTTGAATAATTTATAGCTAGAAAGAGAGATTAAAAGTCACAAAGTCATAAAAGAATAACAAAAATATTTCAAAACTCAAAATCGTCCTTTATTCCTAAGGATAACGGTTTGTTGCCAAATGGCTACATAGTGTTTATAGAGTAAATTTTTTTTAATATTTTAGGCAAATACATTTCAATTCAATTCAAATGAAAGTTTTTAAAACAGTTGCTTGTTTTGTTCAAGCATAACGCCACCCCGCATTTGTCGCATTTAGTGCGACTGAACCCCTGGCATCCAGGATATTTGCATCAAATTTTAGCTTCCACATGCTCAGGCCAGTGCCCAATTTGATCCTTGCGAATATCTTGTGGTGGTATATGTTGTGCTGGTCCTTTTTTCTTTTTTGCTTGGATGGCAGGCTCAATTGTACTAGATCTCCCTCGTTTTGGCGCGATGTTGATTTTACTCAAACATTGGGCCACCTCAACTCGAAAATTCATTTGATTTAAAATTTCGGAGTCCATTTTGTTTTTCTGTTTCAGCACTCTTCTATATGTCAACCAAGCATTAACCATTGTCAGGTCAACCAAGTGGTAAAATATTCGCATATACCACTTTCTCTTTTTATTGAAATCTTGTATCGTCCCATAAGACTATCAAGCAGATCCACCCCGCCCATACGACGGGTATATTGTTGAATTATACTCAGGCATTTCACATCTACGTTTTTGCGTTGCTTCCGATCATATCTTCTTACCAACATCTCAGGATGAGTTCCGACAAAGGAGGAAATGAGAGTAACACATTTATTGTCTTTCCAAACAACTGACGTTATGTCAACTCCATCTATTGTCGTGATATATTCGTGACGTTTACCACGTTCTTCTTTTTTCATTGTTGCTTCTGTGGGCAGTTTACAATTAGGAAGTCTATTCCTTGGGACTATTCCCAACGAAAAAATTCCTTCCTTCGCCAAATGAACCATGAGAGGAATGGCGGTATAAAAATTGTCATGATACAGACGATAGTTCTGTTTTCAAGGTATTATTCGGGACAAACGCAAAACTATGTTCGATGTTGCTCCAAGATCAGGCT